AGCTCTTCTAGCTGTGTAACTTATGACAAATTACTTCAGTCTTTCCTAGCTTCAGTTTCTTCATCTTTAGATGAGAATAATATCTTCAACCTCAGAAGATTATATAAGGATTAAATATGAATTAGTATAAGTATTTAATGTATGGTAGTTCATGTTAACGCTGTCATATCAGGCCAGCTGTTTCTAATCCTTCTGCATGACTTTCTCTATTGGAAGTATCTCTTCAAAGTTAGTGGTTCCTGTATGTTTGAAAATACCTCTAAAACAAGAGAATGGTTAAATGGATTTGCAGTTCTGAAGCTTCCACTTCCACCTGAATTTTTTTCTCCTTTTCTCCACCTTCGTTGGTTCCGTGGATTCGCCATCCACGTGTATTGATGATAAGCAACCGAACTCTTTGGCCCGGTTTTTATCCATAGTCTGCACTGACCTCCAGCCAACCTCTTATTCTAGAGCAGACCTCAGCAAATATGGTGGCTTGCTTTTATAAAGTTGTTTTTAAGCACAGCCACGACCACTTGTTTACATATGGGGTGGACAAAAAATAGGCTTACAGTTGTGAATACGTGAAACAGAGCTTATGGTATTATTTACTTATTAGTTACTGTATTATTTTCTATACAAACAAATGTAAACTTTTGCCTACCCAGTATTGGCTTCGGTTGCTTTCTGACTACAACAGTGTAGGTGAGTGGTTGTGACAAAGACAAGATGACCTATAAGCCTAAAATATTTACTGTTTAGCTCTTTAAGAAAAAGTGTGCTAAGTCCTGCTGATTTACAAGAAGGGTGCCTATTGGTTTGAGGGAGCCACAGTCAGAACAAAGAAAGTGGGTGAAATGGCAAAGAAATGTATTTACATTGTCTCTGCCTATGTTTGGCTTATTTAATGCCCAGTCGGATATGGGTCAGAAATATTTTTGACTGGTGGGCTTATATTGTGAACTTGAGGAAAAGATAATTCAGTGGGTCATATTAGCCACCCATAGTGCTTAAAAAAAAACGTATTTAGGTAATGTGATTGTGAGCAGTAGTGTTATTCTTCATTTCATAAATATTATTTAAAACTCTTCATTAGCTATAAAGGGAATAATGAACTATAGGTTCTCATTTGATTTCATTGTAGTATTTAGCATTTAGGATTTCATTGAAGCTTTGGAGTAGAATGTCTGAGGTGTAAAAATGAATATCTGTTTTTAGGGAACTTAATACATTTTTTAGCAACTTATTAGGATCATCGACAGAGGGCTGTTGTGAAATACTAGCTTTTAGTCTTTGTACCTTTTTCTTCTTATAGGGGATATGAAAGGTGAAGTCTATCCATTTGGCATAGTTGGAATGGCCAACAAAGGGGATTGCCTGCAGAAAGGGGAAAGTGTCAAATTCCAATTGTGTGTCCTGGGCCAAAACGCACAGACTATGGCCTACAACATCACACCTCTGCGTAGGGCCACTGTGGAGTGTGTGAAAGATCAGGTAAGTGGCAGGATCTCTGGATCTGAATTTGATCCTTTTATAAGTTGGTAACCAAATAGTAACCAAAACCTGAAATTTTTTCAGCCAAGGGGTTTTATCATTTTTTCAGTGATTTGAGGTGACTTATAAAAACATGGAGAAAATCCCGTGATTGGGAGGGAAATGGTGGTATTAGCAAAAAAATAGTGGTAGTGATAACTACACTACATGATGGAGAAGATAAACAGAGGGAGACATTCAAAATAGAAAGACTATAAGATTTTGTAGACTTTAAACCCGAGAGCTTCTTCTACAGACCACACAAAGAAAGAGTCATGTGTAGGAATGTTCATAAAATAAGCTTAGGGCAAACAAAGCTATAAAGCTCTGCCCAATACTGAGATCTCAAGAAAACCCCTGTGAGTCCTCAGGACATTTTCTTAATGTCAGTACTGTGAATTAAATATTGGTATGGCTGTTTTTTATACTACCATAAATCACCTTAATGATTTCAGAAGGGATCAAAACCATGCATATGTTTATGTAACAGCTCCTTAATGATTTTATGTAATTCAGAAATTTAGCTCGTATAATACATGAAGGCACAAGGCAACCTTTACTTGTTTCAGCCAGGCTTGCTTTTTTTTTTTTTAATTCCAGTTTGGCTTCATTAACTATGAAGTAGGAGATAGCAAGAAGCTCTTTTTCCATGTGAAAGAAGTTCAGGATGGCGTTGAGCTACAGGCTGGAGATGAGGTGGAATTCTCCGTGATTCTTAATCAGCGCACTGGCAAGTGCAGCGCTTGTAACGTTTGGCGAGTCTGGTGAGTTGTTGTTGGATTAGCAGTCTCCCTGGACTGTCTCTGAACATGCGATCTCTGCTTTATCACATTTCTTCACTTTATCCATCTCTGCTTTTTCATCATCTTCTATCACTTTGGTTATTTCTTGATACTTCTATGTCTTGTACTTTTAGTCCTCACTGTGTAAACTCTTAGTTTCATTAAGTCTAGTCTAGTGAAATATTGATTGGGGACTTACTGCATAATATATCTAAAATATAGAAAGATGGTATAGTCCTTGTTCTTAAAGTAGTCTGCTTAGCTCTTTTCACTGAGCCATTTCTAGGTAATATGTTGCTTAAAAGTCTAATTTTATAGTTTAGCAGTTCTTGCTGTGTTTTTTAGTTTTTAGATTTTTTTAAAAAAATAATAACATTGTTACTATGCAAGGAGCTGGGAGTCTCTGGAAACACTTCTTTGTATTTAACTCTATAACCTCTCTTTTTTTTTTTTTTTTTTTTTAACATCTACTGCGTTTTATTTTGTCATTGGCCCAGCCTAGGAACGACCCTTACCCAAGTGATTCTTCTAGCTCCTATACAGTAATAAACCTTGAGTTGGGAATAAAAACAAAAACTTGTCTGTCCTGTCTTGCTAGCTAGCTAGCTAAATGAAGAGTCCCCCCTCATTAAAACTGAGTCATTTAGGTAGTTAAGTAGAAAACACACTCCTGTAAGTACTTGCTTTCTTCCCACCAAGTGTTGCTGCTTCTCATTTCTTGCCTTTGTTACAGTGAGGGCCCCAAGGCTGTTGCAGCTCCACGACCTGACAGGTTGGTCAATCGCTTGAAGAACATTACCCTGGATGATGCCAGTGCTCCTCGCCTAATGGTTCTTCGTCAGCCCAGGGGACCAGATAACTCAATGGTATGAGGACATACAAGGTTTCGGGGGCGGTGGGTGGGGAAACTTAACAGACCAACATACTGCTTGAGATCCTGTTTCTGCATATCTCAGCTTAATAAGGAACATCCGTGTTGCTTTATAAGTAGTTAAGACTCCCTATACATCGGTTCAGCCCCCAGTATAATGGTTGCTTACCATTAAGAAGCACATTTCTTGATTTTCATGAAACTTTGAACAGTTTTAGCTAATGGATCAGGAAGGCTTACAATCGATTTTCCTCTGGGAAAGAATTGGTAATGGTTAAAATGATTAAAAGCAGTGCTTTTGTAGTTCATTTTGGAATTGTGAATAGGCTGTGATTATCATGCACTCAGGTCATTAACTGCAATTTTATTTTTTCACAGGGATTTGGTGCAGAAAGAAAGATCCGTCAGGCTGGCGTCATTGACTAACCACATCCACAAAGCACATCATTAATCTGCTATGATCAAGTTGGGGGGATTCTGGTGAAGGGTCTGAATATCTCCCTCTTCATCCCTCCCCAAAACCTGGAATACTTATTCTATTGAGCTATTACACCAATTTTAACACCTTCCTCGTGTTATGTTTAAAAAAATAAATAAATTTAAGAAAACCATTTTAAAATTATGCACAGTTGCAGCCTGGAAAACTTAAGGTGGCGCCTTGTAGTATCAATTTTAGGAGCTTTATTTGGTGCATTTAACGCAACTGGTAACTGCAAAATCCACTTTGCCCGTGTTAAGTGAAAAATATAGACTGTTACCTTGTTGGCCCTATGAAATTCTGCACTTGATATTTAGTATATACTCTACCTTCATTACTTCTGGCAAGATGTCCTGCCTTAGCACTCAGTTGCATTCTTTTTCTTTTCTTTCCTGTTCATTATGCTTTAATTCTGAGGACCATATGAGGGTAGACTATATTAATTACAAAAATTTGTATAGGCAAACCATTTCCTTAAGTTGATGGCCAAATGTTAAAATGTTATTTTTCATATCATTTATAATCTTGTCACAGTCCACTTAACGAAGTTCCGTTAGATTTCAACAAAAATTATCTTCCAGAGTAGTTTTTTCTTTCCTGGGATGGGGTGGGGGGGTAAATTTACTACAATTAGTATGTATGGTGCAGAATTTCATGCAAATGAGGTGTGCCAGGAGTGTGATAATTTAAACGTATTTAAAGAAACAAAGACGAATGCACAGACTTGCTGCTGCTTAGATCACTGCAGCTTCTAGGACCCAGTTTCTTTTACTGATTTAAAACAAAACAAAACAAAACAAAAAAAATAAAAAAAGTTGTGCCTGAAATGAATCTTGTTTTTTTTATAAGTAACCACCTGGTTCCTGTGTCCTGTAAAATACAGGCACTTGACCCTTGGTGTAGCTTCTATTCGGCTTTATATCACGGAAATGGATTGGTCTGATTTCTTGGCCCTCATCTGGAATTGGCCACATACAGGGTCCCTGGCCAGTGGACTGAAGGCTTTGTCTAAGATGACAAGGGTCAGCTCAGGGGATGTGGGGGAGGGCGCTTTTATCTTCCCCGTTGTCGTTTGAGGTTTTGATCTTCTCTGGGTAAAGAGGCCATTTATCTTTGTAAACACAAAACATTTTTGCTTTCTCCAGTTTTCTGTTATTGGCGAAAGAATGGAAGCGAATAAAGTTTTACTGATTTTTGAGACACCAGCACCGAGCGCTTTCATTATTGGAACGTCCTGTTTGGGAGGGGCGGGTCTGGGTGTGGCCTGCCGCTGGCCTCCCGGGTCGGGGCCCACGTGGCCGGGGCGGGGACACGGGCGCCCGGGGCGCCGACTGATTACGTAGCGGGCGGGGCCGGAAGTGCCGCTCCCTGGTGGGGGCTGTTCATGGCGGTTCCGGGGTCTCCAACATTTTTCCGGGTGGTGGTTCTAAATCCGTTCGCAGCGGAGGCACCGGAGCTGGAGGTAAGCCTCTGGCGGGTGTCGCGTTGGGCTTTGGAGCGTACAGTCGTCTGGCCATTGCCGGGAATCGAGCGGAATCTGTGAGCTGAAGACAAAGGCCTGGGCGGGGGTCCTTCGGTTTTAGTCCTACGGGGAAGACATTTGGAGACAGGAGGGAGAACCTGAAGAGTGGGCGTCCTGGAGGCAGCCCCCTAGAGCTGGGAAGCCTGGCGGGAGGGGCAGGAAGGGGGGGGGTTCCTTTACCTTAGGCCGAGGGCGGGGCGCAAAGACTGCCGAAAAATAGATGAGGGTGGGGGTAGCTCAGAATTCGGAGACCCACAGTAACTTGTGTTTTTGCATTCCGGAGTCACTCTGAGAACCAAATGAAGGGTCACGTGTGTAGAACCGATACATTTTCAACGCTGGTTTTACTTAACTACTAATGTACTTTGAAGTACGGTAGAGGTGGCTCGCCAATTAACCGTAATTGCTGCTTTCCCACAGGTTCTTGCTGGTGTGAAATGACTGAGTACAAACTGGTGGTGGTTGGAGCAGGTGGTGTTGGGAAAAGCGCGCTGACAATCCAGCTAATCCAGAACCACTTTGTAGATGAATATGATCCCACCATAGAGGTGAGGCCCAGTGTAGTCCGCCGACCCTGCTTTTCTTTCGGTTTACTCGCACCCATGCCCTTTAGCTATTCTTTAGCTAAAGGAATAATCAGGAGAGAAAGTGGAAAGTTATTGTGGGTGCTGCGTTCATTAATACAATAAATAAAGCTTTCCAGTTTTGTGGAGAAGAGTTCATTTTTACGAGCTGCTGAAGATGTTCCAAAAAGTTCAGTTTTTAACAGTTCTGTAAACTTGCAAAGTCAGTGTTGAACTCATTTAGTTTCTTCGTCTGTGACAGCTGTGTTTTTAAAAAAACACACAGGCCATAGGTAGAGTGACTGAATAATGTGGGAGGGTGGAGATAAAGGATCCAGAGACCTGGGGGTTCCCCAGCTTTGATTTCCTGGCTTGTTGAAGCAGCAAAGACTGTGGGTTGGAGTAGAAGGGGCATGAGATTTTGAGTCACTGTGCCTAGGATTTCGGTCCCTGTTTGCAGTTTGTTTAGTGATGTGATAGTGAGCAAATCACTTCATCTGTATGAGCCTTGTTTTTGTCATCTATTAAATTGCTATAAGGAAACGGGTCCTGCCTACCATACAGGGATGATGTGAAAAATCAAATGTGTTTACGTTTTTTGTGAATGGTAAAGCACTGGATAAATAGTACTTATTAAAAATCCTGTTGTCTTCATGGGAGTTCATGTTATAGATTGGCTTTAATGAATGGCAAAAACTGTTTAATAAAAGACCTTGCAATTTTATTCCATTTGGAAATGTGTAACTCTATTTATTGATTTTTTTTTTTTAATTTTTAGAGAGGGAAACATCAGTTTGTTGTTCCACTTGTTTATGCATTTGCTGGTTGATTCTGTGTGTGCTCTGACCAAGGATTGAACCCACAACCGTGGCTTAGTGGGGCAGTGCTCTAACCAACCGAGTTACCCAGCCAGGGCCTAGAAGTGTGTAGCTCTAGAGATTATTTTGTTTTAATACATACTCTGGTCTTCCTACTGTGTAGCCACTGAGTGTTTAATGCCAGCTAACTCTAATAATAGCCGTTATTAAAAATTATTTATTCTTTGCAAAAATCTTTTATTTTAGGTTTAGCAGCTTTCATATGGATAGTTAGAACCATTTACTATTTTTCAGAGTGTTAGTTATTGTGGGGTAATTTCCATATAGTAAAATACATACATGTTATATTTACAGCTCAGTGACTTTTTAAATTTGTATACACTTACGTAATAACCACCACTCAGACAAAAAAAATGTTCTGTTTCCTCCTATGCCCCAGAGAGTTCTCAGATGCCCTTTCCAGTCAGTAAACTCCCCTACCCTGCCAGGAAATAACCACTTCTGACCTCCGTTATAAAATAGTTTGACTAAAACCTATCTTTATAATTTTTGTTTCGCTCATCTCCTAGAACAGTCAGACACTTACCTATATTTCATGCTCTGAGAAGTTTTGGCGATGTGAATTCCGTTAGTTTAAGTACAGCCCCAATGAAGTGAGTTACAGAGGAACTAATTCATCAGTGGGCTGGGAAACTAGGTTGAATTCTGTTTCTGGAGCCAGATTTTTTACTAAGTGTGATGAGGGTTTTTTATTTGACTTGAATTCCCAGAACACAAGTGTTAAAATATAAGTAAAAATTTTGTCTTCTAGCCAAATTGAAAAATTTTGCCTTCTAGCCATATTTTTTTAAAATATGATTTGTGCATCTGTCTTTCTGATGATTTAATTATATGTCCACCTTATTTGTAACCTTTAGGAGATTGATTGAGGAGTATTGTCCAAAGGTACAATCTGTCATGAAGAGAAGAATATTTTGATATTATGACCTTGTCTGATACAAAAAGTATTTGTGTGCTTAATCATAAACACAAGTGACTCTGTAACCAGGGCCAGGTTATAAATAATGGAGGTATGTTTAGAAATTTAAATGTACAATAACCACTCAAATAAGGAAAGTTCAGTTCATACCTTAGTAAAATACACTGTGATTAATCTCTAGTCTATCTGCAGTAGAGCTGCCTTTTGAATTTCCTCCTTTTTTTTTTTTTTCATCTTTTCCAGGAACAGAGTGTTCACATTTTCCTTTCTGCAGGCATATAGGATTTGGGGCAGATTTTTGATGTTGTTGTTTTTTAAGATTTTACTTATTTTTAGAGAGGGGAAGGGAGGGAGAAAGGGAGAGAAACATCAATCTGTGGTGCCTCTTGTGCACAGCACCCCCGCCGCCCCAACCCAGGCATCTACTCTGACTGGGAATCGAACTAGTGACCCTTTGGTTCGCAGGCCAGAGCTCAGTCCACTGCGCCACACCAGCCAGGGTGGATTTGGGGCTTTTTTCCTAGTAAGACATTAATTACTTTCTGTTTGTGATTATATATTATTAGCAGGTTGAGGAACAAACCAGACAGACTGAAATGGACTTGGGTAGGAGCTTGAAATGGACTTGGGTAGGAGCTTGTTTAACCTTGGCGATAGCATAGCATTCCCTGTGGTTTTTAATAAAAGTGGAATCTCCCTCTCACTGCCTCCCCACACCCTCCCCCCAGGATTCTTACCGAAAGCAGGTGGTTATAGACGGTGAAACCTGTCTGTTGGACATCCTGGACACAGCGGGCCAAGAGGAGTACAGTGCCATGAGAGACCAGTACATGAGGACAGGCGAAGGCTTCCTCTGTGTGTTTGCCATCAACAATAGCAAGTCGTTTGCAGATATTAACCTCTACAGGTACCAGGAGCATTATTCTGAAAGGGTGGTCTTTAAGTGGGTTCTGAAGCTTGTCCGGGGATGACTAGGAAAGATAACAGTGTTTTAATTTTGAGAAGGGTTGGTTTTAGGTTGTTTGGCATTGAGAATCTGGGGTTATTACCGAAAGCTAATGCTGGAATTGATACAATACACAATGGCTAGAATGTGTGATGGGATATCAGTGCAGCCTGCTAGTGAGAGTGATTCAGAACTGGAGGGGTTGTTAGAGCACAAAGGAATTTCAGAGAGGAAAAACCTGCGAACCGTTCTTCAGCAGGTAATAGCGGTGATGCTAGGAAGAAACAAGCGCGGAGAAGATAAAGAGGAAAGCAAGGCAAAGGGATGTGAAGATGGCCTTTCTCTGTAAAGCCATGAAGTTTCAAAGCTCATTTGGACCACAGAAAAGAAAGAACACAAAAATGGAGTCCAGGAGGCAGTTTATTAGGTTTTTGGGGTCATGACTGTTAACTACTAGCAGAGTCAGGACCAAAAATCCTGGGCTCCTTTTCTTAACTCCATGTTCTTTCAGCAGAATAATGTCATGGTTCAGAATGTAGCTGCCTGGCTTGAACCTTGGCTCCTTCATCTGTTAGCCCTGGTGCTTCTGGGCAAACTACTAAATCTCTGTGCCTGTTTCCTTATCTATAATGAGATTATAGTACCTACTGAGAGGTGTGGAAATTAAATTAATAACTACATAAATGACTCAGAACAGTGCCCCCCACGCAGAGAAGGCTGTGCGACCGTTCTGCGCACAGCCCTGGGTCCTGGCTCATGCCCCGTCCACATGAAGAAGGCCACTCACAGAGGCAGCTGGTTCAAAACTGAGTTCAGAGAGAGAGAGAATGCCCAGCACTTGGCAGGCTGCTATTATTTTCTCAATTGCTAGAGGTCCTTTTCCTTTTTAGGCTGTCTTGTATTGTCCCTTTACATAGGCTGCTGCTATCACTCACCAGTGTAATGCACTTCAGGCATATGACTTTGTATGTAATCCAGGGGTAGACTCGAAAAAAATTGAAAAATTTTTATGTTCCTTGGCCATATGAGCCACTGACTTTTTCAGTATTTAGTAGCTACAGATGATTAGTGGATATAGTTGGACATCAGAGATACGGAACATTTCCATCATTCTAGAAAGTTCTGTTGGACAGTATTGGTCAAGAGAACCTAGAGGAGTGTTTTCCAAACGGCTCGGTAGTGTGTCTTATGTGTCACTGAAGGGAGTGCCGTCACTGTGGAGTTCCAGATCCTGTAGACCCTCTTAATAAGAGCAGTTCTGGGGTTCTTTTTATGTCTGAGCCTCCCAGCTCTAGTTCTGCTAGAAGGAAACATTGGGAGAGCACCCACCTAGAGACGTGGATAAATATCATCACTCTCAAGGGAAACTCAGAAAGTTACTTTACTTTTTGTACTTCAGACCTTAATCTGGAATGCGATTCAGAGTTGCCAGTTACATTCAGAGCCAAGTTCTTTGGAGAACCAAGCGTCCTAACTAGGGCATGTGTCAAGGCAGATTAACCTTCCATTTCCACTAGAAGGTGAATGGGTACTTGGCTTTCCTATGGCTGCTGAATCAAGTCTAAGCCAGTCTTGTTACGCAAGGTCTTTTACAAGTAGTAGGAAAAAAGTGAAACTCACTCCTAGAAGCTAAGAGGACTAGATAAAATTTGCTAGATTCTTTTCCTCCCTAGCTGTTTATGCGTTCCAAAAAGCTTATTCTTATAATATATTCCCCCTTTTAGGGAACAGATTAAGAGAGTGAAAGACTCAGATGATGTCCCTATGGTGCTAGTGGGAAACAAGTGTGATTTGCCAACACGGACAGTTGACACAAAACAAGCCCACGAACTGGCCAAGAGTTACGGGATTCCATTCATTGAAACCTCAGCCAAGACCAGACAGGTACAGTACAGCTTCCAGCATCTGGCAAGGGTTTATTTAAGGCAGACAAGGTTGATTAATTGACTCTTTGCCAGAGGTGTGATCCACATTCTTTGCTGTTAGGGATTTTTAATAGTGTTCTATTTTAATCTTTGGTTTAAACCCAGAATAAACTTGTTAACATTTTGGTGTGGAATTTTTACATTAATATGCACAAATATTACTAAAATGAAGACCTTTGATTAAAGATAAGAGTTAGTCTTTGCTCTATCAACACCAGCCCCTGTATAGGGTTTAAGTTCTTTGGAATGGAATCTCTAGATCTGGTAGTTCTGTATGTCCCACATTACCAATTTTCCTTTGCTTGAAAGCTACTTTTGCAAAATGTGCCATTTGTATAACATCCTGTTAATGTAATTCAATAAGAATGCTAAATTTAGTGTCCTCTTTCTAAACCGCCCTATTTTAAAAAAAAGAAAAAAAGATTTTATTTTTAGAGAGAACAGAAGGGAGGGAGAAAGAGAGAAACATTGATGTGTGAGAGATGTATCAGTCACTTGCCTCTCGCATGCCCCCAGCTTGGGACCTGGCCTGCAACCTCGGCAAGTGCCCTGACTGGGAATCGAACCGGCAGCCTTTCAGTTCACGGGCTGGTGTTCAGTCTGTTGAACCACACCAGCTAGGGCTGAACAGCCTTACTTCGTCATGAATGATTTAATAATTGGTATTCTAAATCCAGATGAAGCAGTGAGAGAAAGCTTACAACTTGGATTGTATCTGTTTAGGCTGTCCTTATCATTTTTACAGGGTGTTGAAGATGCCTTTTACACACTGGTAAGGGAAATACGTCAGTATCGAATGAAAAAACTCAACAGCAGTGATGATGGGACTCAAGGTTGCATGGGGTTGCCTTGTGTGGTGATGTAACAAGGTGAGAATGTGATCTCTTGACGTAATTATAAATCAGGCAATTTGGAGGAGTGTTGCTATTGTCATTTTTTATGTTGTTATTCACCTGAGAATTTCTGCTCACTTGTAACTATAAAATGTTTTCCTTGTGGTGCCCTTCCTGAGAGTACTGAGATCTAAACTGTTTTTAAAACATTTAATTACTTTGCAGGCATTGTGACATTTTCAGTAATGCTAGAAATTAGAAGACATTATTGATGAACTATGTGAATACCACCTTCTTGGCACCAACCAAAAGTGTGAAGAAGAATCACTACCTCAAAACTAGATGATAATGACACGGTGTTTTTTCTTACAGATACTTTTAAAGCTCTAGCATCCGACGAGAGCCATTGCCAAGGTAGGAGAAGTCTGGCAGTCAGTGGAGTAGGATTCCTGTTGATTTCTTCACTTTCCGTTCCTTACACTCCCCAGGTGACACTTACACGCGCGTCCCGTCTCATTGCAGCTGCACTGACACCCTGGTCCTGACTTCCTGGAGGAGAGAGAAGTATTCCTGTTGCTGTCCTCAGCCTCACAAAGAAGCTCCTGCTGCTCGCCCAGCTCTCAGTAGATCAGTACATTGTTCTCTGTTTGAGAAGTTCTCGGAATAACTACCTCCTCGCTTGATTGTCTGACCAGAGAAATGAACCTCTTGTTACTCCCCAGTATTTTTCCACCCTGGGTTCTTCCCCACACACACCTCTGTCACCCCAGGTTTTTCATCTGATAAGCCATTCACCCTCTGAAAGAGAACCAAACTGTAGACATTAAATTGTCTAGAAAACAATGTCTTGAGGTCTAATGTAGCAACTGCTGCGGGTGTTTTTGTTTTTGTTTTTGTTTTTGTTTTCTGTTGAACTGGGAACTATATTGGTTTTTGGAGAAATGTCATAAATTACTGTTTTGCTGAGAATATAGTTAATGTTGGTGTTTGGTTGTTTGTAATGTTATCAACTGTATTCTATAAACTGGCATCTGCTCTGTATTCATAACTACAAAGGTGAATACAGACTTTTGAGTCTATCCTAGTCTTCTTGACTTTCATGCAATTAAATCGAACTCTCACAATGAAGTGCCTTTTTCCTAGAAGTGGGTTGTAAACTTCCTGTACAATACTTCAGTGGAATGGATGTCTCAGAAACCATGACACATGAAAACCAATGTCTGAGGTATGAGTAGGACCTGTCTACCTTTGAGGGCAAGATACACCGATATGATAGCAGATGCCATTTCTTGTATGTGTGAAGTTGGCTTTTCAGAGACCTGATTTTAGGTTCTCCCAAGAGAAGGATAAAACTGGAAACAATTATAAATAATTTCACTTAATTTTTACCCATGCTCCACTTTTTTTTGTAGGTTACTACCTATCAAATGTATGTACTTTGTTTCTTCTAGTTTACTGGTAATCTAATGTTCAATGAACTTCCATTCGTATTTAAATTTGGGTTATATCCGAAGGCTCTGCATTTGCAGATGTGCAAAACTAAAAACTCAATGAAGTTTTATTTAATATTGTGATCAATGATTTTGAAGCCTCCAACAGTGTATTAACAGACTCATTTTCAATGCATATCGTGGTATCCTAATGCTGTATATATTAATAATTGCCCTCAGGCCCTCACCCGCTGTAGTTTGATTATTTCAGGTGAGTGGAGCATGGTGCTAAATGGACCAGGGTCACCATCTCAAAACCTGAGCGAGCCAGCTAGCATCACAGAGGGAGGAGGTCTTCCACATTCGCTCATTGCACCAGTACCCTGGCTGGTAGTTTGGCCAGGTGTGTGCTGTTAGTCCTGCATGGAAGGAAGTGGTCAGTTAACACAAGTCCTCGATCGTAACTGGAAAAGCTTGGTATCCTGAAAAGGGTCAGCTTAACAGTCTTTATAAATAAATTATCTAGACTCTTTGTTTAGCCATGTGGAAATTCAATGGTGCCAGTATTTCTTCTCATGTTTTTGAGAATGAGGGTACCTCAGATCAAAATTGTTTTGAAGTTGATTTTTTTTAAACCCTCAGCTGAGAATATGTTTATTGATTTTAGAGAGAGGGGAGGGGGGAGAATAACATCGATCGGTTGCTTCCTATACATGCCCTGACTGGGGATCGAACCCACAACCTTCTGGTGCATAGAATGACGCTCCAACTAACTGAGCCTCCTGGCCAGGGCTCAGATCAAGATTTTTTTAACTTTCTGTATTCTTCATGTTCTTTAAAGGTTTTAAAACAAGATACTGGTTAGTTAGTCTGTGCATACAAGAATACAAAAGCTGAGTTTGTTCAGAACAAGAAGCCACCTTTGGATCGGAATTGCTGTTTGAGAAAGGAATGGAAACAATATGTTGTTAGTTATGAGGATTTGGAGGCTTGACTTTTCTGTGCAAATAATATCCTGGTAATTCTAATGAAAAATAGACTTACATGACTTCAGTAAAGGCCCAGGCCAAAATAGCCACTCGCTGTCCTGCTCTTTTAATATGTAAATACTTACTGAGGTCCTCCATCTTCTAACACAAATTTTCATTTATTAAGCAAACTCCACATTGCCTTCAAATGAATTCAGAAGAGGGGAAGAAGTCCATGCTGCGTCCAGAGTGTAATAAACTCAGAGTTGTGCTCCTCGGCGTCCATTCTGAGAGCTCTCGCAGTACTGTCAGCCACCGGTAAGCGGGAACTCTGCCGCTTCTGCCCCTGCCACTTTCGGGCGTTGCACTCATTCTTCCGGAGGCTGGATTGAAGCTTGTCACCTCAGTCGACACCCTCTTCCTCTTCTCTTTGTGACTGACAGTGGGATCCTTTTTCTAATGTCAAATTAGGAGAAAAGATAACTGATTTGGGGCTCTTGTGCCCATTGCCCTTGTATGTATATACCTTGTCATGTTCTCAAGTATGTTGCAAGCACAGAAATACCTAAATGGGGCCAAAATTCAGACTTGAAAATGTTCTTTTAATAGCTTAAGAACTTACATTTAGGTGTGAATTTTGGCACAGTGGAGTGACAAAGTTACAGTTGAATGCTGAATAGTTTCAGTTAGTGTGGTGTAAAATGTGGTGTTTAGAATATGTTTGTAATTGCTGAAAACAATTCTAGTTTACCTCAAAATCTGAAAGTCTCTTTCCCCAAGCTAAGTGCCTGGCCAGCTGTCATAAATTACACATTACTCTGGTGGTTGGTTTTTTTAAAGGTTGTTCGTTCAAGAGTGTGAAAATTCGATGTTCTGTCTAAAGGCCACCATGCCTGATCTGTTAAGTGCTGTATTTGTTCCCAGCAGCGTACTATAGAATGTTACTTGGTAGCACAATATCATACTTATCACAATTTTCACTTTAGGAGTGTAATGGGTAAAATTATTTTCAGTGTATATTTTAGTGGGGCCCATGTTTAGTCGTTCATCATCCTTTGAACTGCTGTGAATTTTTTATCTTGACTTGAAAGCAAGAATAGAGAAACACTTTAAAGAGACTTTTTTTCCCCCATTCCAGAGTTGGTGAGCATAGTCACAGTTTGCAGTCATGAACTCTTAAGCTGGCAGCTATAACCAAGAACCAAAATATGGTGCACTCAGCTTCTTGTAATTCTTCTCTGCCAATAAATTACAAGAAACAAAGATAATGCATTAGGGAAAATATTTTATTTGGGTTGTTTCCATAAAAGGGACTGTAACTCTTACAAATTATTTTTCATCTTTGCAGTTTCTTTAAGCAGTCCAGTGTGCCACAAAATTATTTTAAAGTGTTTCATATAAGAATTGTTTCAAACGTGTTTCTGTTACCAGAGTAGTTGTAGATATGTTTCAGATATAACTGGTGATTTTTAAAAGCCTGAGTACTGACCTAAGAAACAATTGTCTGAATTCTACTCTGGAGGGAAGGTATGATCTTGATGGATGGTGTATGAGCTTTACATTGCTGTGCCGTCAGATAGAGGTAAAAAGACTGATTGACTGATTGTGCAATTCTGCTGTTTAAATGGAAACTATTGGCCTCCTTGGCCCTACATGGAAGGGCTGATATTTTAAGTTGCCTATATTATTGTAAATTAATCCATCCTAATTTTTAAAAATTTGGTTGAATGTTTTTCCTTTTAAATGTTTAAACAATAAAAACTGGAAGTTCTTTGCTTAGTTATAACTTTTTCCACCGAAGTGCCCTTATTGAACGTTAATATTTCAGGCTTTTGGATGTGAGTTCCTTATTTTATCTCAGTATAAAATGTATCAAAGCCTGCTTTAAATGGTTACTTGGGGGATGATTCATTGCCATGATTCACAGTTGTATGTCACGTTCTCCCATATTAACACAAAGTGATTAAAGCTCCCACTGGACACCACTCAGCCCGCCGGTGTGCCACTGCAGGCTGCCGGCCTTGGCACGCAGGGAGAGCAGAGGACACGGGTTCCAGCCCTTAGTTCCTCCTCCAGCCCGCAGTTGCCTCACTTGCAAAACACGGAAGTTGAATCAGGGTATATCTCGGCTTCACCTGACACCGGGACACTGATTATGAGGACCGTGGTCTATTCTATCGAAGATGTCAAGTTGTTTTTTTTTCCTTAAAAATGGCTTGGCGAGGGGGTATCATTAGTATTTGGCTGAATTCAGCTTAAGGAAATGAAATTTAAGTGGCAAATACTGTTTCTACATGGGACTCCCAGAAAGTATAAATATTTTAGATTGTAAAATGCATATGAGAAAGAATCATGGACCTCGTGGACTAAAACATTTCCCCCTGAAATCAGTCACCTATGCTTCATGTGAGCTATTTTGTTCTGCTAATATTTAATCCCCTCAATATCTGAGAGAGGGGAAGGGATGTTTTCTTCTGATGACAGCTGCTATTCTGCTCAGCAAAGTGAAGCTACAGAGAGGTTATGAAAACGTAGCTAAAGCAGCTCATTTAGTTGGAATATGAGGGGATCGCCTATGTGTACTATTAATAATGGTTTCCGTTCTCATCACAAGCAATCCTGAAGGTCCTTAAAAGGCCAACATAGTTGCATAAGTTATTTGATATCCAGGAGGCCACGCTAGGGATCATTTTGCAAAGCTGCTCAAGAGACATTCAGAGACTGTCCAGCTCCATGACCAGAGAACAGAGAATGCCCAGTATCCAAATGGGAAGGGTATGGTTGTGGTGCTCTAAAAACAACCGGACAAGAACACGTGGCCCCGTGCCTTAATGCGAGAAAACTGGAACTCTACAAATATGCAAAATACAGATAGCAAATACCCCTTGCAGTGCCAAAAGGAACATAAAAGATTCAGATTCATGAGCTGGAAGTAGACCTAGTGAACTGGTCGTTCTTATCTGGAGACTCTTTGTACTCATGACTTTACACTTGCACCAAAATAGTTTATCTGTTAACCTCGTGGAGGGGGTGGGAGCCGTGTTATTTTTCAACTTCGAAGAATGAGCTTAGTCTCTCCTTAAAACCAGTATAAATAGAGATTACCATGAGTTTATAGGAGGCATATAAAGAGAGCACCTGCTATACTGTGGGTTAATATCAACCGTTTCTAAAGATAGAGGCAGCTACATGCCCAACAGGAGGACGTGACTGGAACGGAGCAGTTGCGTCCGGGAGCTCTCGGGCGCGGGAGCCTGAAACACTATCCAGGTTAGAAGCGATCTACAATGGCTGCTGTGGACGCAGGAAAATTGGCACTAGTGACACATTCTGTAGGGGTTGAGATACATGAATTATGTGTGATATTTAGGTCTGAAAGAGAACTTCCATGTCATTTTAAAACATTATTACTGTGAGTCAATTCACATTTAACAACTGAAACCCACCCCCCCATAGGATTTTTTTTTTAAATCAGTGGAATGAAGTTGAAAGACATTTTGAAAGTTGGATTAAGAAATCTCAGTCTATGCTTATTTTATGAATTTGAGGAGTTTGACATTTAATGTTAAAGTCCAGAGTGAAACTCTAGCACAGGGTATGAACTGGCATCGCCAAGGCCTGCGCCCGCGTCGCCGGTCCTTCCGTCGCCGCTGCGACATCGGACCCCCCTGCAAGGCATGGCCACGTGCCCCAACAAAACGTATTTGTTTCGTCGGCTTAGTGAACTTTGACTTTTCTTCCCAGGTCACTCAGCAGGTTGCCGCTGAGCCCCCACCACGTGCCAGACCCGCAGCTGCGAGTCAGACAGCCGTTCCGTGTCCATCTTCTATATTCAACTGAGGAAAATCCTCTAAAATAGAATTCTTTCGTTGCAACCTGGTGACTGTTTCAAAGGACAAGAACACTGTTTACTCGGAGGCCTAACTTGTTTGACCCCAGTGTCCCAACTGCCACCCTCTTGCCACTGCCCAGGGTCACCTCCCTCCCAGTTTTTCTGAGATCGCTCAGGCCTCATCGCCACCTCAGGCATAAACAGATGGATGGATCTCTCACTTGAACCCAGGTCTCCTGGTTTCAGACCGTGCGCGCTTCTTGGTTCCCTAGTTTCCAAACCGTGCTGCCCAAGGCCGCTGGGGCGCCGCGGGGCGACGTTCGAGGGAGTCCGAGCAGATGCGGCTCTGCTCGCGCTCCCCGGAGCGGCCCCAGTCTCATCGTTGAGGCTTCCCGTCTAGGTGTAGTTGGCAGATTTCATAAGTTACACTTTAAATATCACTTGGCTTCACCAGCCTACCCCTACACCTGCCTGTCAAGCTGGGAGTCGCCGCACCGCCTCCCGTCTGGCCCGGACCCACCGTCCCCCGGGCGCTCGTGGTCAGCGCGCCGCCAGGCCCGGCGCGGCCGTGCAGGGCCCCGCAGGGCCGGGCACCTGGGCCCAGAGCCGCCTCCGCCGCCGGCTCGCGGAGGTCTCGGGCCAGGCCGTCTGCGGCACCTGCATTTCCTCCGCTGCAAAGGGGAGGCAATAGTTCCTCGATTTCTATAACAATAGTTCCTCAACAGATTACTATTGTGAAAATTAATGATTAACATCCTTTAAAAAACACAAACTTTGGAAGAGTGCCCCGCACTGTTGTTATGGCAGGGACCGCATAGCACGCCTCCCTCTCTCCCCACAGAGCTGGGAGTGTAGATTGTTTTGTTCAGAGCAAATTGCTGAATTTCAGTTCCATTCAAGAGACAGGAAATAAAGTCAGTGTGTCTCATGGAAAAAAGATGAGTCTTATAAATTTGACTTCTTTATTTTTAGGTATGCTTGGGAAACTATTACTGACAGGAAAACGAGGTTGAATCCAGAAAAATACCATAAAATTCCACAGGTTTAGTTATACTCCAAACGTAAACCCATTCATCAGGTGTAAGAAAACTGTTACAGATCTCTAACAGGCTGAAGGGGGAAAAACTCCCATAGTTGCTGCTGGCGAAAAGAAAAGCCCGCAATTGCTGATGTTTTCCCAAACCAGAAGTTGTAATGAACTTGCACTGCTTCCCACTGCAACAATGTAACAAAGGTTACTCCCGGCGTTTGGCCACCAGGAGCAGGAAGGACCGTGAGTGACAGGGCGCTGAGGGGGTGCGGCGAAGAGCAGGAGGGAGACCTCCCGTAGCCGAACAGGAGGCCTTCCCGGACAAAAGGACGCAGGCAGCACTGCCCGGGCACAGATGACGGTCACGGGCCATCGTCCCATAGCGCCTCAGGTTTCAGAGTCTCTGACCCGATGAAATACAAGAAATCTCCCCGTTTGTCACTTGAGACCTACATAACTATATTAACCAATGTCACCCCCATAAATTCGATTGAAAAATTTTTAAAAACACATTTGTAGAGTTGTTATTTGGAACTCTGAATGTCTTTCATAGGAATAACGTTCCAACAGATAGGATCCCAGGTTAGCTCCAAAGAACGTAGTCCGCAATACAACTGAAATAGTCACAGTAACAGTTTTTAAAAGGCACAGAAAACAATACTTTTCTTTTGTTAAAAAGGAAAGCAAAAACTAGAATTAAATGAAACTGGTTTGTGTTATATACTGGTGCTAAAAAAAAGCAAGCTTAATTACAGAAGGATAACTAGACAGACACTTGTCCCATTAAAGGGAATTTCTGGGTGGTTTCCCTGGAGGACTGGAATTTGTTTTGTTTTGTTTTGTTTTTCTTATGATAGAAATAATACTTGTTTGTGGTAGAAATTCAAATAAACCAAAAGAAAAAGAAAAAATCGCCATCATCCTGTACGTACAGAATGCTGCTACCAGTTGCCTAAGGCTGTTTTTATTGTTTATCATGATTTATGAATTAAATGCCCTCCTTGTTTTTTTTTTAACAAAACAAGATTATATTGTGTATACATTTTTGCAATATGCTTTTTCACTTGATAAAATTGTTGAACGCTTTCCATGTTAAAATATGTTCATCTACGTCATTTATGGTTATATCATACTTTCATCAGTCTTCTGATGAGTATGTCAGTTCTTCCTACATTTTTTGGCTGTTAAAATGGTTTGGTGACAACTTTCTTAAAATACATCTTTGAGTACCTGTATAATAATTTCCTTAAGAAAAAGTCATGAAAACTAAATTGTATCAATGAATATGCAAATTTTTAATGTTTTTTGATAAATATATTTCCAAATTTCCTTCCAAAAAGGCTAAAATCTTAAACTTCTACCAACCACATATAAGAATGTCTATTTCTCCATTTACTAAACTTTGGGTAGCATCAAGAAACTGCTTCTTTTTTAATAATCAAATACACTTCAAATTTTATGGGAAACCCAAATAAACTGAAATATTTTTAAAAACACAAAATATAAGGATATATGCAGTTTTAGAAAGTTTTCATAGTATAATCAATCGTATTTTTCTAACTTGCATCAGCTGGAATTCCCAAGAGAACACTAGTCTCTTCAGATCTTTTTATTTTTAACTTGATAATAAAGACCTGCAATTTGTTCAGCACTTTTCCCCGTTGCTTAACACCTTCCGACGTCTGTCCACACATTTCCACCTGCTGACAACCACACGTTTGTTAGTCCACTTACTCAGTGAATCAGCACTATTAGAGACAGCACAGGGCTGAGACAGCCCTAGGACCCCCCCGCACCCCAAGGTGGCTCTGCTTTCTCCCTCCCTCTTCCACTCCAGACTCACTGGGAAGTGTCCTCGCCTCTCCACAAACCCCTGCCTCCACCTTGGTCTTGCTGCC